CTGTGCTTCAAATGAACCCACAATAAGTAACCAACAATCACTCTTTTTCTCATCAACTGAGTAACTTCCATCACGATTGGGTCAGTGAATATCAGGAGAGAGCCGTACCTCAATGACCCCTGCGACTGTAGTTTATGAAGAGCCTTTTCTACACTTAGTCTCTACCGTGTGCACTCCTTCTTTATGTACAGTTTTCACCCTTCTTGATATTTTTCGTAGCTTATCTTCACATACCATTGAGGAGATCACTGAAAGCAACATGTGCTTCGTCTGCCAGGAATATATATATATATATATATATATATATATATATCAATTGTCCTGGGGTTCAGTCTCTGTATGCCTGTTCTTCATTTCGTCTTCTCAAAGCGGCCCAAACAGACTTTCATCTTACATTTGCCCTATGGTCTTGTTCGCCATCATCATTATACACATCAGCTAGAGGTAGGAAACACCTTAGCTACTGTGCCGCAATACATAAAGGAAAAGGAAAATAAATACAACAGTTGCATGCCAGCTGAGCTACCAGCAACGGATAGACACCGTTCCGGTAAGCTACCAGCCGGCTACTAGTCAAAAAGAAAAATTATTGTTTTACGCTAAAAAACGAGATCGTAGGTGGAGGGGGAGGCTAAAAGGGATGGGGAGGGACAAAAACACTCATAGCAGGAACGCCACTGAGGTCGGCTCCTTGCCATGTCAGCAAGTGTATCCAGCCAAACGTGTTCACCGTCTTTTGGACCCAAACCAGAGCGCCCTGACGCCCCAACCGAGGCCAGCTCCGAAGTGAGGGCCTTCATTCCTCTCGACCAAGTCATCGCTTGGCCACCCCTCCTCTTCTTCCATCCACATCCCCGATGAGCAAACAACACACGTCGTGGAAGTCGGTGGGCTGGCATTCGCAACATGTGGCCCAGCCATCGGAGGCTGGTGCGTGAACTGACGGTGCTGAGCGGTTCAGTTCCTTTTTCTGCGCCGTAAACAAGGCGTCGAACACGCTCGTTATTCACGCGGTGTTCCCACCAGATGTGAGCCAAACTGCGAAGGCACTGATGATCAAACGTAACTAGTCTCTTCACGTCTGCCGATCTTAGGAGCCAGGTTTCGCAACCGTACAGTAGGGTCGAACGTACCGCTGCATTGTACACTCTACCCCTCAGGGCGAGAGTAATGTTGCACCGCCGCCATAAGTGGCGAAGGTTAGCAATAGCACTTCGAGCTTTTGCTATACGGTTCGTGATCTCGTCTTCGATCCCAAGGGCGCTGATACAACTTCCCAGGTAGTTGAATTTTTGAACGACTTCTAGCTGATCCCCACCAAGAGTCAGCATAGGAGGCGATCCCTGCCAATTTTGGAGGAAGGCTTTGCATTTCGATGGTGCAAAGCAAAGCCCGAAGCGGCTGTCCAGCGCGGCTTGGCACGTCTGGGAGCTGTCACAGATGAGGGCAATGTCGTCTCCATACTCCAATTGAAGAAGGCGTTCTCCTGGGAGTAGCTCCACATCTTCCAAGTCATGTCCTGTGAATGTAATCTCCATGACTTCGTCAATAACGAAGTTGAAGAGGAAAGGTGACAGCGGGCATCCTTGTCTCACACCGCTGGAGATATTGAAGGGTGGCGACAACTTGCCGTGGGCCCTCACTCTGCTCGTGCTACGCGCGTATAATGCTTGGATAATATTTACCTATTTCTCGGGCACACCTTTCCTGAGTAGACACTTCCAAAAGGCACATCGATCAACCGAATCGAGGGTACCTTTGATGTCGAGAAACACGACTACGGTGGACCGCAAATATGTGTGACGGTGCTCCAACAACTGACGCAAAGTGAAGATGTGGTCGATGCAGCCACGGCCTCGACGAAGCCCGGCTTGCTCCTCAGGAATCTTGCTTTCACGAGCGCCAGTCAGTCTGTGAAGAATTATGGAGGCGCGTAATTTTGAGGCGATGGAGACCGGACCGATTCCTCTATGTTTGCCGCATTCCGAACGCGAGCCTCCTTTGAAGATGGGAACAATAACGGAGCACCTCCAGTCTGTTGCGACAGTCTCCTGCTCTCACAGTTTCACTAGTAATTCATGTTCGTAGTTAGTAACTCACCACGACTAATTGGCCTCACTCTCGGATCTCTTGACAACGTGGTTCCTTGCTCCTTCCACTGACTTTATGCACTATTTAACTCCATAAACGTCGTTTCCTTGCTTTCGCTCAATGGTCTGCTCTGCTGCATCAATATCGCTTTTAATTTATTTCGTTTACTAGGTATATTTTGGCTTATGTTCACTCCAGGTAGGGGCCTTACCCCTGTTTGGCTTATCCCCGTCTAATTCATCCACACCACAAGATCCCCATATGTCACATGTGAGCAGTTTCTCTTCACTAGCGTCGATCTCACCGAGTCACTTCTTTTAACCTGACATGGTCACTGGCTGAATCAGTCTTACGTCGGTACTATGCACCGATGCTTCTGTGTCATGCAACCGCGAAGGATTGTGTGACGGTTGGAACACTACAGGGACACTTAGACTCACGCAAACACGGACTGAAGCTCAGGAAGTAGTTGGTGCAAGCCGAGGACCTGGATCATGATCACATTTGCTGTTTCTTTCAACTTTTCCAGAGAGTACACCTTATGGTCATCGCTAGCGACACGAATAGATCGTAAACCATGCAGTAAGTAAGTTTCAAATATATCTCTGACTGCGTGATCTTGATGTTCTACTCCTCGCCAGCCCGTAACCTAGAGGTAACGAGCTTGCCTCGTAACCTTGCGGCTCAGGTTCGAGCCTGCGTAGGAGCAGGGCGATCGTCGCAGTATCCTTCGCTCACGTGCAACTGGTGGTGGTTACACGGCAGCGAAACGTCAGTACTGTGTACCACAGGCGTACTGTTGATGCTTTTTTTCTTTTTACAGCTCTGTTGGTAGTAACAATACTCAAGTAACATTTGGAACAAAATTAAGTGGGGGATTTCAGCTGAGAAGAGTTGAGGAAAGGATACACTTGCTAAACGGAATGGTCTGCTGACAGAAGCAGCGGGCAGAATACAAAGGCCATGTTGGCTTCACGACTAAACGGTATCTTTGAGATTTGCTTCACTTAGGTGGACAATTCCGTGAAACGTACCTTGAAAGTCAACTAACTCTAACCAAGTTAATTATCTTGGTCATTAGCTTCATGCTCACTAAACATTTCGTTGCCCGACCGCCTTGGGCTTTCACGTAACCAGGTACGGTGTATGCAAACGATGCACGCCTAATTAGGCGATCAACAAGTGTTCAAAGTATGGAAATATTTGGGTATTGCTCTTCCCAACACTGGCACTGTTCAAAGTACCTGGATCGGCCACTTACGACTCCTGCTACCGTATGAGTCGGCGATCTGGTCCATAAGCACAGAGAATGTCAAGTGGCTGACCTTGTTTAACAGCTGATACCTGCGAAGAATTGCTTACCTCTAACATGGAAGACGAGTGACTGAAATCCATGCAAGTGAATTCGAATGACGGTATTCCAGTGCCTGCATATGCACGCGCATCGTGAAGGTATGCACACACACACACACACACACACATCCTGTCGCCACTTTATTCACACGAAATCGATGCTTGCTAGCCAGCTTCCCATGTGACCTCGGGGCTGCATTAGGCAGCGATGCAATCGTATACCGTTCCATAGTGGGATCATTCGGCAAGTCTAGTGCTACCATGCGGGTTGCTAGCCATCTTCATTTAAAAGATCAGCAGCACCCCGGTGTCAGTAAGCACTGTTGTGCCAAACGGATAGATTGCCAACATGTGGTACTATGCACAGCCCAACCCGACTTATTATGCATGGGATAGAACATCAACCTTCCGACAAAACACTCGCTCGGTCATCTGGGTCTTACCTGTATGCAGGGAGTAGATATACTGCCACATGTAATACCCTACCTGATTACGTAACACCGAAACTCCAGTACATGTCACAGTCGCGCTGCTGTCCTACTGCTCTCTTTATCGTACAATTGGTCAACGATAGTCGTACCGTGATTGAAAACTGGAACTTCGATTCGCAATTTAATTAGGTTTCGTGGTTGTTGTCATCATTGTGATTTGCCCGATTTGCTGAAACTCTTCCTACCACAATGTATCCTCGGTTTTACTCATTGCAAAACATTGGAAGTGCATGTACAGCAGTCGAAATATCCAACGTATTCTGACATTTGACACAGTAATTATCATTCAGGTTTGACGATGAATCTGTTTCACATGGGGAAGAATATCAAGCAAAAAGCAGTCAGTGACTTAGGCTAAACCAAGCCGCCAACAGGAATACATGCCAAGCCTTCTTGGATCGGTACTGAGGAACTAGATGAACAACACCTAACACGATTCATCATACAACTTCGCTTGCCGTGTCGAATACACTTGACGCGATGTCTACACATACTAGGTTAAGAGGGGGACACAGGATCCTCAGCTTGATCTCACCGTTTTGTCTCATCCCCGTCCGGTACAATCAACCCATTTTACTTTTGTTACTATTCACTTCAAACTAGTAGTTTTTCTGCAACTTCCTGTCGTTAACTGCTGTTTTTCGTCAGTGTTTACCTCACAGTTGAGCGCTTTGTCTGACTGCTTCCCCGGCCTGATGCTGTCATGCCGTATACATCCCGAGAAGTCGGTTCTCGCTTGGGATACGAAGTGTGTGCTTACTCTTTTCACTTGTAGTCATGTAATGTCAATGTTAGGTGGGACGCTTTTAAAGTACCTTCTGCGTTGCCATGACACTGTTTCTTATATGTATGAGCTCATATTTAGTACTGCATTTTGTATCATCTTTATCTTTCCACCTTCTCCTCAATCTCTTCTTACTTTTATTGCTTTCTTTAATGGAATTGCGCATGGTGAATTTCAGGGAACATACGAAAACCATTGTGTTTGCTTCGTACACACTGGTTACACATTTCAACACTTTTCCCTGCTCACTACTAATCAGTTCCTCTCCATCGTTTTTGCAGGGCGATCGCCTTCCTTGTTTATGCCGCTGCATCCCTTTCATCGGCATCATGCTGCTTGTTAGAATACCTCAAATACGGCTTCAATTTTATTTACGCACTATTGATGCTCTCATTCCTACAAACTTATAGTCAACGAATACTCAGCGAGATTGGCACCAGGTGGACTGTTTTGTTTCTCTCTATCACGCCGGATGACCTCAAATCTACTCTTCAATCTTCACCGTGTATCCTTTTACGCTGCACTATATGTCCGCCCCTTTGAGATGTGGCAGTAACGTCGTGCACGAGCCTTTAAATCGCTCTCCGATTTCGATGCTGTCGCATTCTGTAAGTCGGGGATCCTCGTTGTCTCATTCGGATCCCGACAAAGTGGATGGTCGTACAAACAATCGGGGAACCTCTGCTTCACTGTCCACCTTTCATGCGACCACCGCCACCGACACCAGCAGCGAAACCAGCGAAGGTGCTTGTCACGTACTTTACACTACGTCACCTGCTGTCTCTGGCTACTCAAACACCGTTGTGAATCAGTACCTTAGCGATTTGGGTCACATTTGTGGGCCTGCCGTGTTACGCGATTCGACCCTTCAATCAGGCAAACCCATGTCTGAGATATCCTGTCTCCCATCCACCTTTCACATTAAGCAAGAATCTGACACTTGTTCTCCACCCGTCCGAAGTCACTCTGTACATTCACTCCCGAGCGCGTTGGCTCCGCCTTTTTCCCTTCTCAATCCGACTGCATTGTGCGGCTCAGGGCGTTTCTCTGTTGCAAAATGTGAAGCGTTTGAGGATGTCAAGTTGCTTTCACGAAGTCAGCTCGTCTCTCCTGCGGATAATCTGGAGCAGATCAGGTACGGAATCCTCAGTTCCGCCTCTCATTTGACACCTCGACAATCCGGTTACAGCGTTTGCTCCCCATCGCCATCGGAACCGAATCGCTCCATGCTTTTTTCGGGTCCTCTACGCTCCTCTGACAGTTCACAATTGTCCGTCTTCACCACTCACGGCGCTACCCTTTCCCCGCTCTCTATCACATCTCAGGTTATTCCCGGTACGACCCATCACCAACCGGTGACCATGTCGTCGGCGAACTTCAACTCAGGCACCCTCTCTCACGGACACATGAGCACCTTCGAAACCAGTGATGAACCTCCGCACCATTTTGCTAGCATCCCTAATTTTTCTTTACTATCCCCGTCCATCTCCTCACTGGATTCGTCTAACAAGCGATTGCATTCTAATGGAAACGGTGTTTGTACCACCTTTGTCCCGTGCGATTTGTCCGCGACCCCTCTACCCTTGGGTCTGAGTCCTCGGTCCTCTAAGGCGCGTCGTTATTCCTATCCTTACGAACCGATTGGTGCCACGTCCTCCAGGCTATACACAAAAGAATATCACATGCAGTCGTTAACGGATCGCACAAGCAACGAGAATACTCCATCTCCTAATATGTTCCGGACCGTAGTTGGTAACGTGCCCTCACCCACTCCTCCGGCCGCAGGCACCACATTACCAATGCTGAGTTTGAATGGTGATACACGCGCTTTGTGCAACACCATATCCTCGGGTTCCAATGAAAATCAACCGCATTCCATAGGATCCACCAGCAGTCTCGTTGATCAGAAGGGATTTACCACGGATGGGGAAGTCTCCTTGCCTGGATTCAGCAGTCCCGAGTCCGCATTCTACCAATATCAGAATCGCATGGAGGGTCAGCGGTGTCAGGTATGTGGTGAATTGGCTGCTGGATTTCACCACGGCGCGTACGTCTGTGAGGCATGTAAGGTAAGAATTTCTTTTATTCCACATCCATGCGTGGTAGTATTTCTTATCTTTATGCTTCCTTGATCGGCTGTCATTTTTCCCATACTCTCGATCAACGTCATATTTACTAATGAGTAGTAGAGACTTAGGTGTACTTTCAGAGGTATTTCGTCGCAATCCCCTCTCATTCGCCAGGCTCTGACACGTCTGGTAAAGTACCAGACAGCTGTTTTGACCTTCCGGGTCTCGTCAGTGGTGCGGGTTCCGACCCCATGAGTTCCGGATGTCAGCAGCTTGTGCTACTAAGCCATGCGTGACGGCTGCGGACCTGCGTGACTGACAGTTGACTACGATATGGCTCGGCTCATCCTCATCCGTATTTGTGGCTTACATCATCCTTACCACAATAGTCTAGCGGAACTTGAGTCACCGTAGTTTTGGTCCGATCCTATCGTATTTTTGCAGCCTCTTCACTCACCGAACGCCCAAACTAGATGCGGACAGCATAAATTGGCCGTCATCTCGCTCTATGTTTTGCCCCCAGCCCATTACAGGCACACGAAGAGAGGCCGACCGTCGTCGTCTTGTATTTCGATCCTGCCTCGCATTGTCATTCTACTTTCTGGTGACGTTATTTGCACGCAGGGTTTACTGTACCTTAGACTACCCACTGATTAACTTTCTGATCATGCGGTCCACTTGTTATGTGTGACTGTTGCCACTCCCGTTAAGATGGGGCCTCCAAGGCATTACTGACCCGCACACAGTTTACGTTCGATTCCATGTCTGCAGTCCCTCCTGATTTCATCATTTCTCATGCACCATGAAAGACAAAACAAGTTCATCAGCAACGCGCGTGCACAGCGTAAGGACACTCCGCTGACACGCGATCACTAACAGTCGCGCGTAGATGAGAGGGTTCTATTCTCCGAACTGGAAACTTTTGCTTCAGAACTTTCGTTGCCAAGTTAAGTAACATCCTCAGCACGGCTGTCAGGATCTGATTCACAATGTCTTAAGTCACTGCCAGATCCATGTGACTATTGATCGCTTCATGCTTTGAATGTCAACCTTCGCTTGGGTCACATGGGCCGGCCAACTAAATACGTCTTTTCCCTGTCGATCTGGGACCTATTGCTTACTTCACCTGAGTTTCGTAGACCCCCACTAGTTCCAGGTGCTAGTTGATTGAATTCTGGCCCGAATGCTAGGCCTCGATGAACCCACGCGCCCTGTGGTTCTTTGCTCTTCCAAGTGTCTTGATGTTATCCAGATCGAACTGATGGTCCTTCGCATCCATACGTACTGACATTAACGATTTTTCATCATGGCGACGAATGGCCAGTCTATGTTCGCGCATTCGGGCCGGAAATCAAACACTTGGAGCCAGAGAGTATCTGCGAAGCTCTGTAGGTTAAGTCAGTACAATGCATAAGATTGACAGCGAGAAGATGCGATCATTCGGCCGACCCACGTGAGCCAATCGAAGGCCGACATTCGAAGCAGGAAACGATCGCTAGTCACTTGGATCTGGCAGTGGCTTACGCGACTGCGAATCAGACCCTGATAGCCGCATTGAGGATATCACTTCGCTTGGTAACGAAACGTCCGCAACAAAACTGTCCAGCTTGGAGAATGGGACAACCGTCTCATTCACACCCCGAGCTACAGGCATCCTGAATAATTTCCAGTCACGGGTGAGCTGTGAATACTGCAAGGTCACTCGAACCTATACGGATTCGAACCGGTGATCTCCGGGAATCAAGGCAAACGAACAATCTTTTCGATCACCAGTCGTCCAGTGCATCGTTAAATTTGTGTGTGTTCCTTGATTTGGTCGACCGCTCCTTTCTGTTCGGCATACTTTGGTAAACATTTTGCCTCTAGGCCGGAACACATCACGCCTTCCAAGTGTTTGCGTCAAGTTGTCAGACCTCTTCCCGAGACCAAGTGACGTTCCTCAGGGTTTTCCCGTTTCTTCCTTCCCTTTTAACTTTATCGTATACTCCCACATACACCGTTCATTGGCACATCACAAAATGTGGGTACTGAAATCTTGCCTGAATCCTACCAGGATTACACTGGCGCTAGCGCCTTACTGTTTAGCGGTCGCACAGCGATACATAACTGGATAAACTTTCTGGATTGGTCCTATTTTTCCGCATGTGCTCTGCAAAGTGCTTTCAAGACTACCAGTCACTGAATGGCTCGTTGATTCTTGATAACAAGGAGATTGAAGCAGTTAATCCATTCACTAGCCGTATCGGTTTCGTTAGCAGCGACGAGCACGTGACTGGTGAAGTTAGTTCACGCATAGCAAAAGTAGAGCCCGTCTTCTTGGACCTACGACCTCTGTGATGTGAAAGAGGCCCTCACTCAATCGTAAAGACCCTGTGTTCAAAGCCACAGTGAGGGATGCCCTATTCTATGGAAATGGGACACAGTCTCTGAGGTGCTTATAGTTCTTTTTATCACCGTTGCCCAGGGAGCATTGCTGGTGTCAGCTGGCGACTGCATATCCTCAACCGTGGGGTGCGTACTTGGCTACTTGGAGGCGATGACTAGGTTCATTCTTTGGTGTGCCAGCTTACACCCAATAAGTTGCGTCAGTTTTGGCACATGTATCTGCTCATCTTTTCTCCCGCAAAATCATGTTTTGTTTGTTAGATGTCGTCATCATCATAATCAACAGCAGTACATCGACCATCTGAACTGATACTTCTCTGACATACAACCACAACGGAACACCAAAAGCAGGATACTAAAATGGCAAAAAGGTGTTTCAGCTGTATGCCGTGACGGCGATTAACTGCCGTGCGACCACAAAGTCGCACGCGGGCTGAGTATACCGTGAGGACGCCCACCCCTGCGCGGATTCGAACCCGCGCCGCAAGATTACGAGACAAGCTCGTTACCTCTAGGCTAAGGGCCGACCTACCGGAAAACCTTAATGCTCTAAGCAAGCATTCAGATTCAAAGCGCCTATACCTTGTCAACAGCCTACCGTCACAAACAGCTGGCTGCGGTGCGGATAACTCAGCACCAAACACACTTTAAACAGGCAGTCCGGCCAGAAGACGGCAGCAGACGTGTCACTGGTGTCGACTGTGAGCCATGTTCTGTAAGGTCTCAAGCCAAGCCTAAGACGGGTCACGTGAACTCTAGCCCGGAAGGCAAGGCGGACCGACTGCATCGAGTTTGGTCGTCAGTTACTTCATTTCCCGCTGCCAAGTCAACTTCTGTCCACCTCGAACCTTGAGCCCAATATCAGGTAAACAAAACAAGGCCCTGCTCGGTAAGTGGTGATCGGGCATACATAGTACGTGCCAAAGCCGACGCAAGTTATTCAGCTCTATCTGTTGTTCTAAGTCAGCCATTCTTTTAACGGGAACCATATAGCCCCGCTGGGGGGGCTATAAAGAATTTCCGGGGGCCCTTGGATGAGAAAAATTTTAGGGGGGGCATGGTGTGAAATGTGGGTTGTGACAACCCAAATAACAAAAGCCATTAAGATTTCTGGTAGCTTTTTTCCGTGAACTAATCTTCCCAGGTCACTACCGATCAGTAAAATGAATTCCCGTGCACAGTCAAAGGTGAGAAAACCAGACCTGGCAGACTTTCTGGTGCGGAAGTGGCCTAGCTCCGCGAAACTTTCGTATATTTCGCCTGCCTCATCTCAGACATACAACCACCATACGGTGACTCAGACTGTGAGTGCAAAGTACAGGCGGAGGCCGTCCCCCTGAATTTGATGCATATCACAGTGAACTCACTGAATTCTCCCCAGCACACTGCTGCAGGTACCGCACAAAGCCACAGTGGCACCAACTGAGTTTTGTTCTGGACACTAGCACTGGATGCCGACACCTGTGCCTGTCAGTGTTTCCTTCTCGTTGAGTCTTAGTGCAGTAAGACTAGGTTGCGCGTTTTTCGTCGCCAGTCTCAGCTCATATGTACCTCTGGAAGCTAGGTCATCTTGGCCCGCAGCGTTCCCAATTCGAGTGGATACTCTGCTTGCTTGGGGTGCTAACTTTGTAGTACGTTCGTTCGTTCCGATTAAGAGTCGAAACAACTAAGACGCCCTATAATGCTGTCTTCACCATTCAGTTCAGCTGAAGTTTTCAAATTAGTGATCACTTTTGTCAACCTACATCACACGTGTGAACATCCGGTTTCTTTGGTGAGTACGTATAACATCATCTGTACATAAGGATCTTCTAATACTCATAATAGTCAAAAGCCTTGCCAAAACGCATAAGGCGCAATGGTTGGCAGTAGCCCGATGTGCATTATTATGTTCGTTGCTGACCCTCCCATGTCGGTTTTAGAACTATCCGGCATTTTCTTCCTTCTTCGTCTCTTCTGCCGTTCATTTTACCTGTTGTCACTCTTTGGTGTAACTATCCTGTAGTGAAAATGTGTCCACGGAGCATTATCATCTAAGTTCCATTTGTTTTCGTACTTCTTTGACTTTTGTCAGGAAGTCTTCCTCAGTCATTTTACCTTTACACGGTATTTTTAAAACCACCTTTGGGTTGCTTTGAACAGCGTTTCTACATTTTTAAAGAAAATAATTAAATGGTTTATTCTCGTCAGTGTGAGGTACGCCAGCAATGACATGTTCATCGTGATACAAACACGTATGATCGGTAACTGAAAAAACGTGTCATAAGTTAGCGAGTAACATCCTGAATTTATGTAGGTGCGTGAGTAGGTAGCATCGTTGAGTGGATTTGTTAATGTGCTTCCGGATTTGTGATTTTGTAGGATGGGCTAGCCAACGTGGGAATTAATCAAAGGAACACTTCGAAATGGATTATGTTCATGAAGTGCGTAGGTCCTCCGGAAAGGCAAGAAGCAGAGATTTTATTAAGTGGCGATTCACATCCGCCTTCAATATCAAGAATACCATCGGACCTGATGGGCATGAATCCTCAAGGAGCAGTTAAAGGCATTCCTCTCACAACTCAACTGTATCAAAGCGAATGCGATGTTTCACGACATGGAAAATACCCTGGTTA